AGAAGTAACATCTCTTTGTTTTTTGTGGGAAGCAAAGAGAAGAAATTCTAGCACATTTAAATATGAGTGAAGAGGAAGTTTGCAAGAAGATTGAGAGACTTGGTTTGGGTTCATTTAGGACTAAATTGCAAAAAAAGAGGATTATAACAATACTTATTTCTGTCACCATATTCTGCCTTGATATTTTCTTGTTTAGATATTAAGAACACGATAAACGGAAAAAAACAACAGATTTAAGTTTTATAAGCAAGTGTATATGTAATTCTGAATAATAATTATTTAAGATCTGAAATCAAAAGAAAGGACCAAAAAAACAAAATCTGTGAACTGGACTCTTTATCACTGTTCTCTTCTTTTTTTCCATGGATGTCACCTGTTAATATTTTTGCTGTTGTTTATTCATTCAGTCACTTCCAACTCTTCGTGACCTTATGGACCAGCTCACACTAGAACTCCCTGCTGGCTATCACCACCCCTAGCTCATTCAAAGTCAAGCCGGTCACTGCAAGGATAACATCCATCCATCTTGTCCTTGGTTGGCCCCTCTTCCCTTTTCCTTCCATTTTCCCCAGCATCATTAACTTCTCCAAGCTTTCCTGTCTTCTCACTATGTGGCCAAAGTACTCCATCTTTGCCTCTAATATCCTTCTATCAACGAGCCATTGGGCTTTATTTCCTGGAATATGGACTGGTTGGATCTTCTCGCGGTCCAAGGCACTCCCAGGATTTTCCTTCTCAAAAGCATCTCTCTTTCTTTGCTTAGCCTTCCTGATGGTTCAGCTCTCATATCCATAGGTTACCATGGGGAATACCGTTGCTTTAACTATGCGGATCTTAGTTGCCAGTCTGAAGTCTGTACTCTTCACTATTTTATCAAGATTGGTCATTGCTCTCCTCCCAAGAAATAAACGTCTTCTGTTTTCCTGGCTGCAGTACCTGTCTGCGGTAATCTTCGTGCCTAGATATACAAAGACTGTCACAGCCTCCATGTTTTCTTCCTCTATTTGCCAGTTATAATTGATAATTATCAATCAGTCTGGTTGTCATAATCTTGGGTTTTTTATGTTTAACTGCAACTCAGCTTTTGCACTTTCTTCTTTCACCTTGGTTATAAGGCTCCTCAGCTCCTCCTAGCTTTTAGCCATCAAAGTGGTATCATCTGCATATCTTATGTTTCTTCCAGCAATTTTAACTCCAGCTTTGGATTCATCAAGCCCCGCACATCGCATGATGTGTTCTGCATACAAGTTGAATAGGTCGGGTGAGAGTATACAGCCCTGCCGTACTCCCTTCCCAATCTTGAACCAGTCCGTTGTTCCGTTGTCTGTTCTTACTGTTGCTACTTGGTCCTTATACAGATTCCTCAGCAGACAGACAAGGTGACTTGGTATCCCCATCCCACCAAGAACTTGCCACAATTTATTATGATCCACACAGTCAAAGGCTTTAGAATAGTCAATAAAACAGAAATAGATGTTTTTCTGAAACTCCCTACCTTTCTCCATTATCTAGTAGATATTGGCAATTTGGTCATTAATTATAACATTAATATCTTTAATGTTACTAATTTATTAAAGACAATAGAAAGTATTAGAAATTGCAATGTAGCATGGATCACCACTAGGTGGTAGTATAAACTTGTATTCTAGAGAGCTCTTTCAATGTAAATATTGCAAAATACAAGAGCTTTGTGAATTCGGAGTTGAGAAGATTGTCCAACTTTTGGAAAACCTAATGGGGAAATATATCAGTCCTTGAACTTTTCAGTCTTCACACTGCACACATGTTGGCATCGATTGGGGTGAAAAACCTTTGATCCACCAAATAGTTTGACTGAAAATTCTCAACATATAAAATGGTGAGAAATTATGGCAGTTATTAGATTGTAACATTTGAAAAGTTCTTAACCCTGGCCACATCTACACTGACCACTTAGGTCAGTGTAGAGCCAGATTGGCCAAACTCTGCATGGAGCTGATCCGGCATAACATAGAACCACCTTAATGCAGCTTTGACCCACATTATCCAGTTAGACGAAGGTCCAAATTCTGGCCCTGAATTTACTATCCCCCAAATTTGGGCCCATGGGAACATGGACCCCTTTGCAACTGCCCCTCTGCCATCCTGTGTTTTCTGGGATGAGGCAGTTGGTGAACACAGAATGGCAGTCCCCTATGCTCCAGATTGGTCCTTAGATCTTTCATGATGGTGGCCATACTCACTGGGCTGATTTCTCTGTTATGCTCCATTGGTGTCCAGTTGGTCTAGCTGGCCTGTCCCTTTGTCCTAGCCACCATGGTTGCACCTGCCAAGGTTATAACCTGGTGTGTGCACAATTTCCAAAGAGAGAGTACAATGACACTCTCCTTGGAGTAAGGTGATGGAAGGGGTGTGCATATGGACAATGATTCAGACTCAAGTGAACCTGGTCCAGCTATACAGATGACCACAAACCCTGAGGACACTCTGGAGTTTCCTTTGGTAAATAAGGAGCAAAGTCAGGCTAAGGGCTAAAAACTCCAAATTCTTACCAGAACCCATTGTGTTTTACGAAGATTGCCAGCGCCAGCTTCAGGGTAGGTTTAAAAAAAATTCTTGTACACACAGCCTGAGTAATGACAGCGAAAGAAGGTGTTGGGTTCTCAGATATTGTGTTAAGATTTAGGAGGCTGTAATTATATGCCATAATGGGAAGGACTACATAGTTGAAGCCAGGAAACAGTCTATTAAGATTAACTGTTAAAACTACAGAGGAAGAACAAGTTGTTCGTTGCCAGACAATGACAGAATCTGTCAAAAAATATATCAGTTTGAAAAGTAGACTTGTGATTTCTTCAAACTGGTTCTGCAAGGAAGAATGAGAGTGTGAAGCAAGAAGTCTGGCAAGGCTGGGTAGAAGCTGCCATCCACAGCTCACGAAATGCTAAAAGGGTAAAGAACATAATGTAGGGCACACAGCCATATAATCCAGAAAGGCAGAAAATCCTCACAATATCTGCTTTGAACTGGGTTATCTGAGTCCACACGCCAAATATTCCAGTTCAAAGTAGAAAATGTGGGATTTTATTCAACTGTGTGGAAGTGACCTAAGGGTGTCAAATTTGCATTATTTTGATAGTGTAAATGTACCCAGAGAGAGGAGATCCATCACAAGGAGATTCACAATAGCAGAAGGCCTGGTGTCAAAACTTTATTTGCAATAGTAGAAAGCAATGCACAGATCCTCCCTGTCTGTCTTTGGAAGTAGGCAAGTAGGATATCACATCCTGAACATCTCGCCCGATTACCAATAATTAATGTTTTCTATGTTCTCCCTCTCCACACTCAAAATATTGCCAACACATACCAATATATTAATTCAAACATTTCTGTGCCAAATGACATAAACTCTTTATAAAGCTCAATAAAAACATAAATGATTATAAAGAGAACAGATTAAAGACAAGATGCCATGCAATAATAGATCGAATCATCAATTCATTAGTTCAGCAGCCAATAAACCTCCTACAGATCAACACAGTCAGAGAAGCATAGTGAAATAATAAATGAATGATCATAATTACAATTAAGTAAGGGAGGGAATTCCAGAGCAAGGGTGTGGGAAGCCACAGAAAAAGCCCTTGGAATGTAGGTAATAGCATAATCTGCAAGGAGACTTCATGATAGTTGAAGGCAGTGAGTGATAATTAGAGTAGTTGGAAGCTGAAGCCTGAGGAGAGAAAAAATATATGAATATTCTGATCCAATCATTCAGGTTGTCCAGTGAGGAAGAGGGTGGAACAAGTCAGAGAAAGAATACTCTCAAGCCCCTTCTACACTGGCATATAAAATCCAGATCATCTGCTTTAAACTGGATTATATGGCAGTGTTTTCTGATTGAAGAATAGCTTTCATGGCAGTCAAAAGACCCCATCAGGAAGAAAGAAGTTTGAGCAATTTGGGCAATTTTGCATAGCATTTAGAGCTCCCAATGTACAGTGTTCCTTCACTTATCGTGGGTGTTACATTCCAGGACCACCTGCAATAAGTGAAAATCTGCGAAGTAGGGATGCTCTGCCCACTCCTCTATCTCCCTCCCCCCCCCTCTCACTCACTGCTGATTGATGAGAAGGCAATAGCAGCAGAAGGAGCAGGAGGCCCTGCGCAGGCCTCTGCGCCAAGTGCAGAAGACCAGACCTCAGCCCAGCCTGGCAGTGGGGCCTCCGAGGAAGAGGAGGAGAAGGAGGGGAGGGGGAGCCAGGCACTGGGCCTTACCCTGGACCTTGTCTCCGGGCTGGGCCTTGGCGTGGCCCTCTTTGGCGGTGATGGCCTCCTCCTCCTCGCTGCCTCTCTTGCTCCCTGCTCTTTCCTCTGAGGCCCCTTGAGCGCTGTTGACACCATTGCCAGGCTGGGCTGAGGCCTCAGCGCAGCCTGGCAGTGGTGCCAATGGTACCCAAGGGGCCTCCGAGGAAGGAGCGGGGAGCTGCGGAGGCCCAGCCCAGAGACAAGCCCCAGGGTAAGGCCCAGGGCCTGGCTCCCCCTGTCCTCCTCCTCCCAATAATTACATACATTTTTTGTATAAAAATAGGTTTTCTGTGGAGAAAACCCACCACATTTATTTCTCTGCAGAATAATTCCTCCATTCAAATATGGTAGGAGGGCTTCTATGAAGAAATATTTCTCCTGAAATAGGGAGAAAACTACAGTAACATTTTTTCTGTATTCCAAGTGCTCTCTCATGTCTCTGTACTAGCAGTTGATAAGTGAGGAGAACAAAAATAACTTTGTTCTTCTTTCTAGTACTCAGCATTCATTGTTTAGAAGCAAATAATGATGTTGTCAGAGTTTTGTAACATTATATCATTTCTAAAGTGACAATAAGCAATTGGAAGGACCAGGTTCATTCCAGCACAAGCGTTAAGGTTGTAATCACCTGGCTAGCATTGAGAAATATACAGCCAGGGTGGAGTAACTGAAAGAGTAATAAAGAAGCACAAGCTTCTCTATAGTTAGAGAGGTGTTAGAGGTGTGGTGGAAGAGGCATTGTTGCCAGAGCATTGAGCTGCTGGAGATGGAAATACAGAGAAGCTGAAGGATTAATGAAGAAGACCAGAGAGAAGAGCTAATACTGTGAAGGTATGAACTGACTGGGGAGTGTAAAGTGTTGGAAAGAAGGGCTGAAGAGAGTCAGGAATATCTGTTAGACTTTTGTAAATACTACTGTATAAAGTTTTCTACAAAAGATACAAATTGTGTTTTGTATGCTCCTTAACCGGAGTGGGAGTGATTCTGCTGAAGAAGGGGGCTGGCTTGTTGCAGAACAACAAACACCAACAATTTGCTGCAACAAGCTGTAGGGTTACCATAGGTTGGAAACATTTTGAAGGCACAAAACAACTACCATACCATGATCCCAAAATTTCTAGGATTCCATAGGCTGAGACGCTGAAAATTGTTCATCCATGGAGTACCTAAGTTTACTGTGTCTGTAATCTTTTGATAACTTGGCCCAGATGATTGCAGTGTTCTAATAGGCATATAAAGAGAAATACAATCCTTCAAATCCCCTGAACAAAAGCTGTGAAAGTCATTGTAGGTCAAAACATTCACTTTGAATTGTGCCTGGAAACAATCTGTCAACCAGTGAAGATGCTGCAACAGGGAAGTTGTGTGTTCCCTGTAGTCAGCCCCAGTTAATAACCTGGTTGCCACTGTTTGGATCAACTGAAACTTCAGAACACTTTTCAAAGGCAGACACACAAAGATCATATCGCAGCAATTCAGTAACTGAAGCATGTACCTCCATGTCCAAATTTGACTTTTTCAGGAATGGGCTCAGTTGATGCACTATTCTGGTTTCAGAAAGTAAGAAAGTAGATCTGAACCCACAACAGCAACAGCAACAACTTGTGGCAGGGTACAATATGGTTAATACAGTGAGATAAAACAGAACACTATTAAAATACATAGAACAAATATACACAGGTAAAGTGAAGATTTATATCTACTGATAAAATGCAGGTTAAATTCAGAAGTTAAAATTAACTGGATAAGTCTGCTAGAAGAGGTGGGTCTTCAGTTGCATCTTAAATTCTGACAGCTGATTTAGCTGTCAGATCTCTTCCTGCAGGTCATTCCACACAGGACAGTTGATGAGGGTATCCTACAATTCTTGAGCCTTGGATAGTCAAACTGTGCAACAAGACAGGTTATTGGGGCACAGTCTTCCTACTACAGTGATATATATTGCTTTTTACATAAATGATAACAACTATTACTAGTATTTCTAACCACAGAAATAGACTGTTGAAACTCCAGTGCGTTTTGTCCCCCCTCTCTTTTCTGAAGATACATAGTAGTCATCTAGGCCAGCTGTGCTTTCCTCTCTAGTTTTCCTTCCTATGTTTATCCTGTATTGGTGCTGCTTTTGTTCTCATTGGCCTTGTTCCAGCTGAAGAAATTGAAGAACAAAGACATTATAATCTGGAAGAATGTAGCAGCTCCTTTGTTTGTCCGTACTCCACAGTCATAAATATTTGTTGTATGGTGTTTGGAAATGAGGGGAGGGGGAAGCAAATAAGGTTAGAGCTTTCCCCAGCTCCACTTCCCTAGCTGGGTGGAGGAATGGACCCTCACTGCCGATAATAATAATGATGCAAAAAATATAGTTTAAGTTGGGGCTGGTGAGTTCTATCACCTTTCAGATTTTTTTTCAAAGTTAGCTTATTGGTTCTTGGATTTGTGAAAACTCTTTTGTACACCTGTATGTGTATATACAAACATCACTACACCCATGTGTAGCTTACACTTTCATTTCATTCAGCTGTTTTAGTTTGGTAGGGATAGTCCCCATTAATCTGCAGTCATCCTGTTTTTTTCAGCTTCTTTTAAAACTGTCTGGTTTTCTCTTCGCTCCCATTTTCTATATTTATCCTTGGCTTACTTCAAGAAGTAAGATATAGATCAGTACTTCATTACAATAAGACAGTTGTCATCAAATTCATGGACAGATCATGTTAAAAAGACTTGTGATCTTACCTCTATAGAAGGCAGAATAGAGTTTCAGCCAGTGCCCTGAAAATGTTGTTCAGGTTACAAGAGAGCGAAGTGGAGAATCACTCTCTTTAATTTGTAAATATTTTTCTTATTTTTTTGTCTTCTTTTCTAAATACAGTAGAGTCTCGCTTATCCAACCTTCACTCATCCAACAGTCTGTATTTTCCAACACAGTCTGTCACCCGCTGTTTCAATGCATTGCAATGTTTTGGTGCTAAATTCATAAATACAGTAATTACTACATAACGTCACCATGTATTGAACTGCTTTTTTTGTCAATTTGTTGTAAAATGTGTTGTTTTGGTGCTTAATTTGTAAAAGCATAATGTAATTTGATGTTTAATAGGCTTTTAATTTTTGTAAAATCATAATGTAATACACATTTTATCCCTCATTATCCAACATTTTTGCTTATCCAACCTGTTGCTAGCCCATTTAATTTGGATAAGCAAGACTACTGTATTCAAATTCAAGCCTCCATTGTCGAACAAAGTCTTCATTATATCCTCCTTTAATGCCATTGGACAGCTTGGCCACTTGGATATAGTCTAATAATTTTAAAGGCAGACTTTAAAATAGTAGCAAGGAGAAGTTATTAATATAAAAATAAGGGTAGATTTTAATGAGATATTAGTTTCACATTGAGTGGTGTCAGAAGTCATGGGTTGGGGGGGGAGAGGAGGTGTGTGGTAGGCAGATGTATTTGTATTATGTGTATTTGATGTATTATTTTCTTTTACATGCTGTATATCACTTTTATACAATAAAATATTTTTTTTAAAAATATTTTCCTTATGGAAAGTTAGAAGGGGGGGCTCACCAATTTGGCTCAAAGTAGGTGCATGATGTTGTAATTTTCTTAAGGGGTCTCATTCTTCTCCTAGTAATTTGAACATTGGTTGAAATCAGTCAGAGAGAGCAATGGTTCTAACCTCACGTAAAGCTGTGTCCATCATCTGGAAGAAGTGATCTACTGCCTCTAAACTTAGGTCGATCCTGCAGAATTCCTAGTCCTGGGGACACTTTGCATGAAAAACAGATGAATCCTGTTAAAGATTGGCACATTCAGTAAGAGTTAGGATAAAAATCACCTCATAACCTTTTGATTTTTTTGGATGTGTATTAATAAATATGTGGGTGGAGTCTCGTGAAAACTGGTCCGGACCTGTTCAATGTAAACAGTCACAACACTGTGAAGAATTATTTAACAAGATCAGTGAAACTGTATGGAGACAGAGAGAGATCAGAGAAAAAAACAAATAACTACAGGTAAGAATGCTGTATAATTTGGGGGTAGCAGTAGTAAACTCTACGGTTTATGGGTTTATGCTCCAATGGCCTCACACATTGACCAGTGATGCTTTTTTAAGTCTCCCCAGAAGTTGTTAAACCCACAAAATCCTTGATTTTTTGCAATGCTGGTTGTCAATTATGGGGACTATAGTTCAGCAACATCTGGGACTGAAATTTGGGAACCACTCACATAGATAATAATGTAGAACTTGGAAAGCAAGCACGATGTGGTTTGAGTGTTAGACTTGGATTCTGGGAGATCAGGAGGTGAATTCATGCCATGCCTTGGAGATCTCCTGGGCATCTCAAACTCGGCTTCAAAGTAAGGCAACAGGAAATCCTCTCTGAACAACAGCTGCTGAGAAAAGCCTCTGATATGTTCATCTTTGGGTTGCTTAAGCCAGAAATGACTTGAAGGCACACAATCATATACAGAAGTGTTTGTGTTTTAGCAGCACTATTGATCAAGCAGATTTACTTCTGAATAAATATTGTCCAGAAATGCATTGTAAGGTTGCAGTCCTATAACTGGGAATAAATAATAAACACTCCTGAATGCAATAGGATTTGCTTTTGAGCAGTCATATAGTCTTGTTTCATTGCAGCTGTGTCTGTCATTATTTTTTTAAACAAATGAAAGTTCTTTCTAGGACTACTTTGATGTATGTTATGTATCTTTATACATAAGCCAGTTTTCTTCTAGCTAGTTCTGTAGTTTTCCCCACTCATCCATTTGTCTTTCCCTGTTTCTCACACACATACACACATCTGCTCTGTGTACTCAACTTACGGTTATTTTTTCTAAGCCCCACAAACAAAAACACTAAGGCATGCATGACCTTCAGGACACCATATCTTAAATCATCCTGAGCTCATGTTTTATAATATGGAAATACTATCAGCAGCCTACCTCCATCTCTTTATATTGTAAGGCACTAAGAAAGTAGTGGATTTACTGAAGGTGAGTCTTGCAGAGTGTGTTGCTAACTCACATCCCAGCAATACTTTATCCAAAAGTCCTTTATCCAAAATTCCAGTACCTTCAAAATTCCAAAATATGAAATGCTGCAAACTCCAAAACTGTCCACATGAGTAGTTGAGATTGTGACACCTTCTGATGATTCTAAACCTTTTTCATGTACAAAAATATTATTATGTACAATTACTTTCAGAATTTGTGTAAGGTATATATGAAACATAAATATGAAACAGAAAGTTGTATACCACATGGGTCCAGTTATTTGAAAGGTCTAATCTCTTTTTATTTACCTATCAAGAACACTATAATAATGTAGAAAATGCTTTCTCTTTGTCCCACACGCTATCAAGCTCAATTGTTAGGAAGAAAGGAGAGGGTTTTTTCGGTGGCTGGTTCCAAACTCTGGAATTTCGTACGTAGAGAAATCAGGATGGCCCTATCCCTGCTTGTCTTTCATAGGCAGGTGCAAATCTTTCTCTGTCATTGGGCATTTATGGATTGAAAAGAAGTGGGTTAAGTAAATAAATAAAATTATTTAAACTTGGGTCCCATCTCCAAGATCACATTATGTACAATGTTACAAATATTTATTTATTTATTTATAGTATTTATATACCACCTTTCTCACCCCTGGGGGGACTCAAAGTGGTTTACAAGTACAAATATTCCAAAATCTAGGGGAAAAGTCCATAAGACTTCTGTTCCAAAGTTTTTTGGATAAGAGATACTCAACCTGTATTACTTTTTCAGCTGAAGGTGAATAAGCATCGATTTATATTGCTTCAGTTATAGCAGTGTCTTTTGTAAGGCAAGGGAGACAAAGGGCACTTCCAGACAATGCCAAAATCTACACCAAAGTGGGTCTTAGAAACCTACTTTGGTGTGGATTCCCGTACTCATTTTCCCCAAGAAACTTTGGCTTTCCCGGGAGGTGGCTACATGCCATCTGGATTAAAGTTGGGATGGCATGCAGCCACTCGAAGTCCTCCATTTTACCCCTACAAAGAAAGTAAAATAAGTTTCCTTCTTGCCCCCCCCCCCTTCCTGGCATGTCATTTCCTCATGCCCTCCAGGCATGAGGAGGCAACTTATGGCAGCTAGGTATGTTCTACTTATTTTAAGGGGTAAATTGGGGGCTTGGGGTAGGGGTGGCTACCCTCTTGGTCTTTGTAGCTGTGTGGATTGGGCCCAGGAATCATGTGACATGGTCCCCGGGGCCAATCCCCACAGGGCCCATACCTGCTAACACTCAGATTTTACCTTAAGATTCGGATCTTGCCAGCTATTTAATTAGTTAGGGACAAACCAGGAAAACATTTTTACTAGAGGCCTCATTTTAATGCCTCTGGTAAAAACCCAGACAAGTCCCTAGATATGGGCCTGTCTGGATGGGCCCAAAGGCATACATTTCTTTGCAGTCTGGTAGTGGCTCTCTCCATGCAACTCATCTCTGAAATAAATGTATACCCAAATCTTTTGCGCAGCAAAAATGTACCATTTAAAGTTTTCTCAGTGTGTATATTTAATTACAGTCTAAAATAAGGGAAGGGGAGTTTCTACGTTGATAGTTATTATCGAAAATGTTTGTAATAAGGATGTCAGTAGACGAGATGATGGTGAATACATAGACCCTTATCTGTAGACAGTAAGAGGGGTGAATATAAGTTTTTTTTGCTATGTGCTTTGGCACTATTTTGGTGTCCTGGCTTTGCTTTCCTGTAGATGGCTAGCCAGGAAGCAAGTCGATTATTGGACTGCCTTAAGGGCTTGTCAAGGGCCAACACATGATCTCAACCGATCCTGTATCGGATTGCTCCTGCCTTTTGCCCCATTCAAGTTCAAGACAGTATAAATAGGTTCCAGGTCAAGTAAAGTGGCCCATATTTAACCCATTTCTCTGTGTGTGGTCACATTATTCCATGCTTGGTCATCAATTAGCCTTTCAGCTAAAGATAAATAAACATAGACTCACATTGCTTCAGCCTTACCCTCCTCCTCAACCTTTTCAAACCTGTTCATATCCCTTTCTTGGTAATGAGAGAAATGGGTCAAAGAGCCTTGTCCTAAATCCAACAGTGTGTGCATAAGTGCATGAAGGTGTGATATTGGATTGGTCAATGTTGCTGTTATTTTAAGAATGTGAAGGAACACTTTATGGATGGTAAGCACATTGACTTCCCTAGGTGAATCTCATATGCATAACATAGTTAAATGTGATTGGAATTAAGCCTCACCTTGATCTTGTTCTAGAGCACTGCATATAGAGAACAGCTGTATGCATTTTTAATGAATGGGGCAGTTCTAGGTATGCAGATTTCAAGGAAATCTGCATGTGTTTTCTGTGATATATTTAGGAACACCCTGTGCCTTTTGCAATGTCTGTTGTGCATTGGTTTTAAGTCATATATTAATCATCAATGTGTTAATTTGATTTCTTGGTGTTATCCTAATGCTCTCCAGGAATCAAAATAGTAATTTATTCATCCCTATTTGCAGCAGATTTTGTCACAGATACAGACAATTGCAAAAGAACTGAGGGATTAAAGATGCAACGTGCCCACATAATCTCAGCTGGATCCCAGGGCTGCTGATGACATGTGTTTCTTTTCCCTCTAGATGTTTGGTGTTTGGTTCACTGCATTCCTTCTACATGTAATTGTGAGAGGTGAGGAATATGGGCAATAATACACATCTTGAAAGCATTCACACAGTTGTTTTGTGAGTTATATTCTTCTGTTCTCACTGATTTTGTATTGCAGAACTTTATTCTCTTTCAAAACATGTTATATTTGCTTTCTTGTAACTGTGTTACTCATTAATTTATTGTGTTATTCATTCATATTTCCATAATCTATCATCATAGACAAATGACCTATTAGCATATTGTGAATCTGACAACTCCATTCTGGAACATTCTTTGTTTTCCAGAATCCTAATGAAGGCAGAGATTTATAAGCAATTTAGAATCAACTAAAGTAAAGAAGGGCAACTCCAGTGAAGGTATTTGTTTAAAAGAGGGTGGGCTCCCAACATTTTTCTTAGAAGTGGTAGGCACTTCAGTTATCATCTTGGTGCTACTAAATAACAATAACAACAACAACACTTTATTTATATTCCGCCCTTCTCACCCGGAAGTAGACTCAGGGCGGATCACAGTACACATAAACAGCAAACATTCAATGCCGCTTTGTATAGACAATACACAGACAGACAGAACAGAAGGAGGTGGTGTGTTTTGACTCAGTGTTCAGCTGTTTTTGGTGCCATGGAAGGTTGGGCTCGAGCCTAGGGGGTGCTATTGCTGTATCCTCTATGACGAAGAGCTGTCAGGACTTCCTCCTTCCTTTTGGTCACCCAGTATTTTCTGATCTTCTTTCTTTATGGCGTTGTAAAATTCCTCCTCCGCTTTCAGCGGTACCTAATTTCTCTAATTACAGCTAAAGCTGTTTTTGAATTGCTTAGGTAAACAATGAGCTAGGCTGACAGTCGGCAGCTCATGCTGACCCGGGGCTTCAAACTTCAACCTTTCGGTTGATAGATCTTATAATTGCTGGTGATTTACCAGCTGTGCCAAACCTCCCAATTCAATGTATTAACTATTTCTCCCTCTTTCCACAGGTTCAGAGATTTGTTTTAACAGACTTGGGTGCTTTGAAAATGGACCTCCTTGGGGCGGAACTTTACAAAGGCCAATGTTGAACTTCCCAGAGCCTCCAGAAATTGTGAACACTGCTTTTCACTTGTATACTAGAGAAAATCCTATCTATTTCCAGGTAAGAGTGTGTTCTAATAATCCTACACCACACAAAAGGCAAGGTATAAATCCAATCAATAAATACAAAATCTAAAATAATTAATACATACAGGTTTAATAATATCCTAATTAGATATCCTGTGAAATAACTACACAAAGAGCCTTGCCCCTTTCCATAGGTATTTCCATTATCCTCAAGAAAGGGAAGGGAAGCTACTACTGAGGATTTCAACATGTTCCAAAATGCCAGAAGAGTACTATTCTGAATATTGTAGAAATATTGTAGAAATATTCCATGCATGAAGGAGGCATGCATGGAGGAGGTAGCTTACTTTGAAACCCCTCCCCCTCACACACAAAAGTTTCGAGTGAGCAAGCCTCATCTGTATATACTCATGAACAAGTTGAACTCATTTATAGGCAGAGAGCAGGATTTGGGGCCAAAATTATGATTTTTAAATGATCAATGGATGGGTCAAGGGGCATTCTATAGAAAGGAGAAAGCACCAATGCTAACTCAGTTGGCGTCCCTGACTGTTACTGCCATTTCCCCGCCCAGACATTCAAAAAAGGCCAGAACCTACACCACAGTAGAGAGAGTAGAGAAGTTGGTGTTTCTTTTAGGTTATCCCAGGATGGACTAGGAACTTCCCTTTCACCATTCTACTCACAGAAGGGGGTGGTTTCCCTTTTTTTGACCCATCAATAAGTTGACACAGGTTTTTTTGGAATAATTTTTAGTACAATTTCTAGACTTTTATATGAGTATCTAGGGACCTCTTCACACTTACCTCAAAGTTGCTTTGTTTCACTGGCAGGCACACCCTCCCTCCATTTTCCATCGCAATGGAGGAATGGGACAATGTGTGTTGGTGCCCTGTCCCTATCAGATGGGGAAAAGTCACCCAACGTGCATTGCCATCTTGCCCTTTCCCCCATCAGATGAGGGAAAGGCCCAAAAATGCAGGTAGCTCAATTGGAGCTATCCACAAAACCCTTACCTCTATATAGTTGCCGAAGAAGTGTCTTGCAACGCTTCCTCGAGACTTGGAGGGTCATGTGATGGTGCTCAACAATTTGCCCCAATGTGATGAAGTAGTAGGTTATTTGTAAATCCTGAAGCTTGCTAGTGGTCATGTACTAAAGCAGTGATTTTATCTTCCCTCCCATTACGGTCTTCCAAACGGTATGAAAATCTGTCCTGCATAATTTCCCCAACTTTTAGATCAAGTTTTGAAAGTGTGGGGAAGACATCAGAAAGGACTTCATTGATGCTGTCCTCTTCTGCTTCTAGTTCAATTCCCAGTCTAAAGCAGGAATGAAAATCACACATTCCTCCAGATATTGTTGGACTGTCATATACACCATTCCTTATCATTCATTCAACAGGCTAGAAAAATTGGGCTTTAAAATTCAACAACATCTGCAGTGCCATGTAGTGTAATTCAGGGGTGTTTAGCCCATTTTCATTGAGGGCCACATCAGCCTTTATGGTTACCTTCAAAGGGTAAGACTGTATAAATGTAACCATGTTATCCTGGAATTGAAAGCCTCTAGGGGACACATAAAATTATGTGGTGGACCAGATTCGGCCCAAAGGCTTTGTGTTTAACATGCGTGGTCTAATTAAACTGTTGCGTCAATTAAAATACTATTTTGTTTCTAGGTGTGCTGCTTAAACACTACATATTAAAATGTTAAATGATTGTGATAAAATTACACTGAGGCTTGTACACACTTAGTGTGGAATAAGCATAATTAAATTACTTCCTAAACCATTAGGATTACAATCTGACTAATTTCCAGTCCAGTTATTATTCTGTCAGTATAATCTGCCTCAAGATTGAGTGAATCAAATTCTTGATTAGTGACAATGTTGGAAAATAATTGTTAGGAAATAAGCTAGTCATTTCTATACAAAGAATCTCTTTTGGGCCACAGTTCTCAGAGTCCCACATCGCCATTTCTCCATACCCTATCCCAGAGCCAGTGTCATTGGCCCAATTGCTAGTCACATCTAGAAAAGGTCCAGTCTAAACAGTAGGAATTTGTTTAGTCAACACTTGCCCAAGTTCCATTGATTGACTGGTTTACTTTAGCTGGCACTAGCAATTAGATTGAGTCCAAAAAGGATTTACAAAGTTATTTTAATCCTCTCAACCCCATTACATTGGGAAGTAAATTGAAGGATTTGGATGATACTTTGGATAATTTTTGTCATTTTAATGTTTTTTTCAATATTATCATGTTAGAAAGGGATTGATTTTGTTCTAATTTTTATTTCACATTCACATACTAACATGCATTCTCAAATATATATTTTTATCCAAACCACACATTTGTTGAGGAATACTAAGTTTTAGGTCACAGTCTTATTAAGGAAAGTATCAGCACAACAGTAGCTGCTGCTGAGTTCATTCTAGGTTTTATTCCAGACGTTAAAGGAGCTCTGCAAGGACCCCGACCTTTCTACACCTTGGGCAGTGCCTTTAACATCTTCAGTAAAAATCACAAGTGCATTCATTATAACTCAATATAAAATATCCAAGCTGCCACTGGCAGCAATGATACTGATTATCTAACAAATGTAGCTTTTCTGCAGAATACATGGAAGCTAAGGGAAGTGAAGCAAGTGGATAAAATCATCTCAAACACAAGTACACAATCTTGAGCCAAAAGAACTGTAAGGAACTAAACTTTACAACTAATTTATGAGATAGACAAGTCATGTAGAAATACATGACTTGATAAAAAATAAGCACAAGCAGAAAGGACAATTAGATATCTATTATTTTCCTTCAGGATTTTGATTTGTAATGTTGGACTCACATCCATTTTTCAAGCCAACAGAACTGGTTTTATTCCCATCACCACCTCATAATCTATGACCTAAATTAGATTACAAGATAATGAATTGCATAACCATTCTGACCAAAACAGTTTGTTGTTTATTTGTTCAGCCACTTCCAATTCTTTGTGACTTCATGGACCAGCCCACGCCAGAGCTCCCTGTTGGCCATCACCACCCTCAATTCCTTCAGAGTCAAGCCTTCACTTCAAGGATACCATCCATCCATCTTGCCCTTGGTTGGCCCCTCCTTCCTTTTCCTTCCATTTCCCTCAGCTTCATTGTCTTCTCCAAGCTTTTCTGTCTTCTCATGATGTGGCCAAAGTACTTCATCTTTGCCTCTAATATCCTTCCCTCCAATGAGCAGTTGGGCTTTATTTCCTGGAGTATGGACTGGTTTGATCTTCTCGTGGTCCAAGGCATTCTCAGAACTTTCCTCCAGCACCACAGTTCAAAAGCGTCTATCTTCCTTCACTCAGCCTTCCTTATGGTCCAGCTCTCGCATCCATAGGTTACCACGGGGAATACCATTGCCTTAACTATGTGGATCTTTGTTGTCAGTGTGATGTCTCTACTCTTCACTATTTTATCAAAATTGGTCATTGCTCTCCTCACAAGAAGTAAACATCTTCTGTTTTCCTAGCTGCAGTATGTGTCTGCAGTAATCTTTTCAACATCAAAAACTAAGCCTACAACCATGAAGCCGTACCACTCCTGAAACAAACAAACATGGTGGGAATATTCATATGCATAAGTCCAGGAATAGAGATTTCGAACACTCTGTGGCCACATTATGCCCAATGGCTTTTCCACAAATTAATATTTTTCTCCTTTGGGATAGAGAAGATCCTGCACCCAGTCAGGTGGGGGGGGGGGCAAACTAGGTCCCTTGCATTATTAATTTGTTTCCGAATAAGTCGAAAAACTAATAATTACTATTAACATATATCTTTCTCCCCTTAATCGAGGTGATATCTGCAATAAATCCATCAACGATTAAAGTCTCAAATTTCAGAACAAACCGGAAAACACGTTTAATTGTACATGGCTATTTTGTTGGAGATGAATATGATCGGATAGTAAACATATGCAGGGTAAATATATAGCCAATTATTTTGTTATTTTTATTGTCGTTATATTGATGATTACCTGTGTTTGTATCCCCATCTTCCAATTGCACAGAATGAAATATCATTTGAAATCTTGCATAGGGAGATGGAGTATTAAGTTTCACCTAGTTGGATTCATAACAAAGGCATCCTTCAAAGGTTTTCGTTGTGTGTCCAACTACCAAATTCATAACCAGGTAAAGACTTCCATAGCAGGGAGATGAGTTTCAAGGTAGTGAGGGAGGTAGAAAATTCTTTCCTCCAAATAACCCCCCCCCCCCAAAAAAAACCATAATCTGGGTTTATACCTGCACAGGTCAGTAATAGGATACCGGCTGTTAATGTGTGTTACAGAGCATCAATTACCCTGGCCCTTCATTGCAAAATGTAATATGCATGATGCATTCCTGATATATGATCACAATAAAAGGTATATAGCACAACACAGAAATTTACATGTTGCTATTTATGTAGCTATTTACATTATTTATTTATTTTTAGCATGTCAGAAGTGACTTGAAAAACTGCAAGTCGCTTCTGGTATGAGAGAATTGGCCTTCTGCATGGGGGACGCCTGGCCTAACAGCAGTACATGTGAAAAAGATCTTGGAGTCCTCATGGACAACAAGTTAGACATGAGCCAACAATGTCATGCAGCGGCAAAAACACACACACACAAAAAAACAATGGGTTTTGGCCTGCATAAATAGGAGTCTCGTGTCTAGATCCAGGGAAGTAATGCAACCCATCTATTCTGCCTTGATCAGACCACATCTGGGCACCACAATTGAAAGGAGATGTTGATAAGCTGGAATGTGTCCAAAGTAGGGCAACTAAAATAATCAAGGGTCTGGAGAACAAGCCCTATGAGAAGCGGCTTAAAGAGCTGGGCATGTTTAGCCTTCAGAAGAGAAGGCTGAGAGGAAATATGATGGCCATGTATAACTATGTGAGGGGAATTCATAGTGGGGAGGGAGCAAGCTTGTTTTCTGCTGCCCTGGAGACTAGGGCGCGGAGCAATGGCTTCAAACTACAGGCCAGGAGATTCCACCTGAACGTTAGGAAGAACTTCCTAACTGTGAGAGCTATTCAGCAGTGGACTTGTCTGTCTCAGAGTGTGGTGGAGGTTCCTTCTTTGGAGACTTTTAAGCAGAGGCTGGATGGCCATCTGTTGGGGGTGCTTTGGATGCAATTTTCTTGCTTCTTGGCAGGGGATTGGATTGGATGGCCCATAAGATCTCTTCCAACTCTATTATTCTATAGTTTTTATTGATTGATTGATTGATTGATTCTATAGTAATACTGTATTTCTTCAATTATAAGATGCACTTTTTATGTAAACCTTTCTAAAAATGGGGTGTCTTAGAATCACAGGTGTGTCTTATGTATTTTTGGTGGTGGTTGTGGCACTGAAATTGTTGTGCATTTTACAATCAATAACAGCCTACAATTGAAGAAATACTATAACTTCAGCTTAAATGGGAGGGGGGGAGTTCACACAGTTCGTAAACTCATAGAGTTCAGTCACACCATTGGCTCATGGGGTACTGTGAATCTAATGGATACTATGGGCCCTTTCACCAGAGAAACGTACTGAAACAAAATATTTAGAGTAATAGGAAGAAAATGGAAAGGAAAGTTTATGCCCCCTTTGAAGCTGCATTTCTAGACTCCAGATCAAGAATATGTTGAGTTACACAGCAGAATTGAAGCTCTCTATTTGAAACAACTGAGCATGTTTTAGGAGAATCAATGTTTCATTCACTAGAATGATTGAGAGTTTGTATGCTCTTATGAGTCAGCAAGGCTATTCCTGTTTTTCCCCCTTTACTTAACACCCTTCTGCATCTTTTATTTTACCACTCATTTCTTTAAATGTACTTGTTTGTCTATTTGTTCTCCAAATGTCACTGTTACCCTATTTGGCCTCTATCTTTCTGCTCATGAATTCTAAGTCTGAAGGCCCAGCCTTATGTCATTATGCATACAAAAAGGAATCGATTATGACAGTTCTGCAAGTAGGATGTCCATTACAGTGTGTGATTATTATGGAAAATGGTAATGTTCTCCATATTTTTGTTCTTGTTGATATAATTTATTTTGTTGCCCCTCCAGTTTCTTCTTCAAAAGGAAGATATAAACTGTATTGTTGTAAACTGGAAAGCGGCTGCTGCTGATTTGTATACACAATCAGTACAAAATGTCCGTATTGTTGGAGCTGAGATGGCTTATTTATTGGATTATCTTGAGGTAAGCATGTTCTCCTGCCCATCATACCAAATCCCTTAAATAGAAAGGGTGGAATATTTTAAATTTCTTTCCTTTCAAGACTTCAGACTTAAAGATGTTTCAAGAATATTAAAGACCTCATCACATGGAGGTCCAGAAGCCGGGGGACATAATAGGAAACCGTGTGGCAGTGCCATCTTCATCCCCTTAGTTGGTCATGGGCTGTGCCCGGCTTCCTCTCGTGCTATCCCTAGCTTCTTTAATGAGGATACAGGTAGTAATCCGTATTCTCATGGCACCCTCTTAGTGTGCTGCCAACGCACTGTTGGCATACTGCTAGGACCAGAGGCGGCCCTAGGTAATTTTCAAAGGTAAGCAAACAGTATTTTGCCCCCCCCCCCCAAACCAATCATTGATATATATTTTCTGTTTGTCGTGGGAGTTCTGTGTGCCATATTTGGTTCAATTCCATCATTGGTGGAGTTCAGAATGCTCTTTGATTGTAGGTGAACTATACATCCCAGTAACTACACTTGCCGCACTTGCTCCCTTGCCTGGCCCGCTTTGGGTCCGGAGGCGTGCCTGAAGACCCCGGCGTGTGCACCAAAAGTCACCTCTTCTCCTGACTTTCTCCTCAGCCATTGGGACCAAGAGAGAGAGAGAGAGAGAGGTGGAGATGCCCACCTTTCCTGAAGGTAGGCGCAAAAACAAAGGAGAGCTCTCTCTCTCTCTCTCTCTCTCCCCCCCCCTTGGGGAGAGGAGAGGAGGCGGGTGGAGCGCTGGGGGATCAGGAAAGGGAGCCGGTCATGGGGAAGGGATCGAACGCGGAGAATGATTGAGTGCTGGCTCTGCTCGTGCACCCGGTGGCCGGGTGGAGCAGGAACTAGAGGGGCTAGGTGAGGCTCAAGGGCCCGGCCCCTTTGGGAAGAGGATCACCCGGCAGCGAGGCAAGAAAGCCGAGGCTCCCCCCGGACTGCTAGGGCTGTTGTGAGCTGAGGGGGCGCTCCTCAAGTGGCGGTCGAGGGGCATTTACAGAGGTGCCTCTGCGCTCCTGGCAAAAAAGGAAACGAATGTGGAAATTATGGTGAAACCTATTCCTACAGACCTATTTCAGTATATATACTGCTCAGATAGTATACATCCTCGTGAGATTTGTAGAGCTAGTGGAAGTAATGGTAGAAAAGTAGTTTTCTAAATTGTGTGCTGCTGAACCAGAGTCACCTCTAGGGCACATAGTGCATAGTCAATCAATAAACTCAAGTCTTAGGCAGAATACTTCTTTCTCTGCCACTTTCTATGTCTCCCAAGCACAACTCCCAGATTCCTTATTCCTTATTGTAATTTCCTGTGCAAGATGCGAAGTGGCACAGGGTGTGACAACTGACCGGCACCAGGAAGTGTGGGCAAGCATTCTAATACTCAAGGACTCTGGAATTAATATGCCTAATTATGCCATACCTCAAGATTACAAATAAGAATCTGAAGGCCAGAAAAACAAGGCGCTTAAATGAAATCTAAATAATCTCACCAATCAATCCTGTGGTTTTTAAAAATAGACGTGGAATCATTGGTAAAAGATGGCATGTTAAGAATTTGTGCCTAGGAGGACTTAGGTAAAGGTAAAGGTAGTCCCCTGACTTTAAATCCAGTCATGTCTGACTCTGGGGTGTGGTGCTCATCTCCATTTCTAAGCCGAAGAGCCAGCGTTGTCCATAGACACCTCCAAGGTCATGTGGCCGGCATGACTGCATGGAGGACTTAGATCCTTACAAAGAGCAGATGGTTCAAAAGGTTTCTATCAAATATATAGAGTTTAAGATTTTTATGGTTATTTTTGAGTCACAGAAAGTTGAACCCAATATTGCAGTTGTCAAAGGCTCAGTTTTTTTAGCCCCTTCCACACTAGCCTATATTCCAGGATCTCATCCCAGATTACCTACTTTAAACTGGATTATATGAGTCCTCACTGTCAGATAATCTGGGATAAACAGATAATCTGGGATCAGATCCTGGGATGTAGAGGAAGTGTGGAAGGGACCTTTGTCTTGTCATTTTATGATTAAGAAATTCAGTAAGAATGGACCAAGTCAATGAGTACTTCCCATATTCATAAGTCTATTTTTGTTAAAATAAATTCCTCACAACACAGTGCTTTGCATCATTACAATTCCACTGAGTAAGAATATATAGAATGTATTGGTTCAAGTAAGAAGGTATATATTGGGACCTAGCATGATGTAGTGCTTTGAAACAAGGATTTGCTTCTCTGCTCAGTCATGGAAACCACTGTATTACTTTGGGTGAGTCACATAATCAACCACAGAAAAACTGTGATAGGGTCATGTTAGGGCTGCCATAAATTGAAAACAACTTGAACAACAACAACAACAACAACAACAAATAATAATAATAATAATAATTATAATAATGAGAATACATAAGTGGAAACAACTAAAGTTACTCCTGCTACTATTACTCTTATCTAGGACTGACCCTATTCTGAGGCAGCCTGAGGCCCCTTCCACACTGTCCTTATATCCCACGTTCTGATCTCCTTTTCTGCTTTGAACTGGATTATATGAGTCTCCACTGCTATATAATCTGGGATAAGCACATAATCTGGGATCAGATCCTGGGATATAAGAAGGGGCCTGAGAAGGCAACTTGTAGTATCAGGTATTTGCGGAGTTCAGGCTGTTAATTCTAGTTTTTCTTTTCTATTGAATAAGTGTATATCACACACCTTGTACAAAGTTCCCTAAATAGGCTTGCCAGTTCAGGTGTTGGCGAGGACACAATCCTGTTAACAGTGCTAAAGTTGTATTCAACTAGTAATCAAATCGGTTTTGTATGAAGCACGCAACCAATTCAGAAACAGGTGTCATCTTGTACCTTGCCTCAGGCAGCAAAATATTTTGGACAGGACCTGCTCTTCTCTTGTCTTTATTATGAGATTTTTTCCTTGCTAAGAATAAATAATATATATTATTTATATCCTTTCATTTCCATTGTGTAGGAAAACTGTGGATATTCTCTTTCTGATGTCCATATTATTGGACATAGTCTTGGAGCCCATGCTGGAGGGGAAGCTGGGAGAAGGAAACCAGGCCTAAGCAGAATAACAGGTAATGTAGTCAATGTGATGAAATGTAAGCGTTTTGAGCAATAAACTTGAAAAGACAACTGCTTAAAGCTGAAATTATTTTCCTAGCAAGGAAATGTATGTTATCCAAGCTTATCCTGTAGGACTTATAGAAAATGGCTAATAAGAAGCTTTTTGGGTAGATAAAGGCTAACAAGAGGTAGAATGCTTTTCTTTCTTGTTTTAGTTTCACAATTCCAAACTCATAATGTCCATAGTGGCTGGAAGATTTGAGGATAAATATTTTTTCCAAGCTGTGCAGTGAGCCTTGGATGCATCTACACAGACCAGAAACACAATATTTATCTGAAGTGGGATATTCTGGATCAACATTGCCATGATGCACACAGTCAGCTTCTCAGCTGGCTTGGGAGCTGGAAGGTGTCCATATTCCATGCCCTCAAAATGACTTGGTGGCTGGATGGTGTTCATATGACCCAGCAACACCAGAACCTATTCAGCACTACTGGATTACCACCCTTACCTTGCCTGCATTGGTCACTACTTGGCACCTACAATGGTGCCATCCACAGTGATGAAGTGACATGAGCTGGAGAAGACGGGAAAAGGAGGAATTGCTCCCCCCCCCCCTTTTGCCCCTCTCCATTTGCTTTGTCACTCTGGCTAGTGTCGCTCAAAGTGCCGAACAACAAACACAACTATTTTCATACTCAATGGGCACAGCAAACACCAGATCAATGGGGCAAGGTAAGTGCTATCCCTTGTCCCTATGCTGCGCAAACCTGGGGAAAGCCACAGCCACATTCCAAGGAGAAAGCAACACAACTTTTTACACTCACCCTATCTGTGCATGAACTCTCAGGAGCTTGAGGGATGTTTGGGAATATCCTACAACTTTTGTTAATGTGATTCAGGGCCTTATTAAGTGACTTTGGCCAAATTAATTCAAATTAGCTCTGTGCTTCATGCAGCTGCCTGGAGCTGATTTGTCCACACTTCAGGATAAAGAATGTTTTTTTTAATTTACTTCTCACCTCGAAGGGGACTCAGAGCGGCTTACAAAGTATGCCAAAAATTCAATGCCACATCATACACAGAACAATAAACATATCACATCAAATTATAAAACAGTTAAAATATATAAACAGTTAAAACATATAAATACAATAAAAGCAATTAAAAATATACAAAGTGCTGAGTCATGATTTCCATACTTCTTGGTTTTCCCATAGTCATTATTCAAACTGCTAGATTGAGGTTGAATTCTGTATTACCTTACTCCCCAGACACCCATGTACAAAGCCAGGTCTTTAACTTTTTCCTAAACACCAGGAGGGAGGGCCAGTCTGATGTCACTGAGGAGGGGCTACACAACTGAGGTGTCGCCACTGAGAAGGCACTGTCTCTCATCCCCACCAGTTGTACTTGCGAAGGGGGTGGGATTGAGAGCAGGGCCTCCCTGGCAGATCTTAAAGCTCTAGTTGGCTCATAAAGGGTGATATGTTTGGACAGATAGATTGAGATTTTCTACTCAAAAGAAAGCCTGTCCCAATAGTATTACATGTGAACTCACCTGGTGGCTATGCTGTGGTCATTCTTGTACCAGGTGAATGTCTTCTTATTTTCTTACACATTTGAAGAGCTTCTGAGGTCCCTTCCACACAGCTGTATAAAATCCACATTGAGCTGGATTATATGCCAACATGGACTCAGATAATCCAGTTCAAAGCAGATATTGTGTATTATTTGCCTTGCTATTCTGGGTTATATGGCTGTGTGCCCATCGTTTACAGTAGTTACGTTCCTTCTACAGATACAATTTCCTTGTTGCTGGCTTTATTTATTTAGCTAATTTGGACAGGAGTAGGAATAGGTGTTGTTGTGTTTTTGAAATATGTTGTCAGTTGCGCAGTTGTCTATGTTGGGTGTGAACTGTACGAATGCTGAAATAATTAACCTACAACTAGACAAACAAACAAATCCATCACTTGTCTGATTAAAGACTTCCAAGGAATGTCCATTCTGTCCTTGTTCCCATATTATTCTAATGCGTCCATGAATAAGGCTCTTTGCATTTGACGTAACACTGGCATGGTGAATATGTCATTATAAATGTTCAAAATAACTGTCTTGGTTTTATTTAGGTCTGGATCCAGCTGGGCCTTTATTCCATCAAACACCTCCTGAAGTCAGATTAGATCCATCAGATGCCAAATTTGTTGACGTTATTCACACCAATATAGGCCACCTCTTCTTCGAATTTGGTGAGTGTTCTACAAAAGCAGTCTTGACCTGATCGAAGACATCTGTATAGTTACCATCAATTGATCTGTATTTCAGCCAGTGGAATAATTCAGCCCTGTGGCCATCTCGATTTTTATCCAAATGGGGGTGGAATAATGCCTGGATGCAAAAAAGACCTCTTCGTATCCAAACAGGGAGATATTGATGGAGCTATGAGAGGTAAAAATAATAAGACGTATTTCTTTAACATCTTCAACATACCAACTATAGCAAAACAAGAATGTATAGATTTGGACTAGAATTCTTATTGATATACTGAATCCACCCCATTATATTTTTGTCTCTGCAAGTTGAACGTTTGCAACTCATTGAAAATTGCCACCAATTTCCTTCATTTTAAAAAAGTATTTTGGGATTTAGAAGTGTGGGTTGATATTTTGGGACACTTTGGGGATTATTCATTTTAGCCAGAAAAAATATTCTGGAGGAGGATTAAACTTGGAGAGATTTCGGTTGTATGAAAAGCAGGACTGGGAGCAGCATATAGCATGCAGACCTCATTTTCCCTGCATCTGACATAGTCTTGAAAATGATTAAATATCCTCTTAAGGATTATCAGATGCATTTGATAAAAGGGGTTACTTTCTACATAAACTTATGACAAATAACTCGTGTCCACCTTTAAAATCCTGGATTTGCTATTTTCATACATGTATATGAGTATATGTATCTCATGTATGTATGTACGTATGAATGTATATATGTATAAGATAACATACAAATCAAAACTTTAAAAAAGTTTGCCTTTCAAGATAAATTCAAGAAGACATGTCAAAAAGTAAATAAATAATATAGGAAAATAGAGCCATGAGATAATTGGAGGTATTTTTAATTATGTTTCCCAAACTGAAAACATTCTACTACTACTTTAATTTAATTACTACTTATTAGAACATCACCTGCTATTTTAACATTTAGGTAATATATTTAATTCAATTGTAGTATCAAGGACTACTGGGATATTAGCAGTTGTCGCCATGGCACCATCTACTGGCCAAAGAAGGAACAGCTAACTAAGGACTGAACCAAAATGACTTAGTTGTTTTTTTAACTGGGGCTCCTTCTACACTGCCATATAATCCAGAATATCAAGTCAGATAGTTCACATTGTCTGCTTTGAACTGGATTATCTGAATCTATACTGCCATATAATCCAATTCAAAACAGATAGTGTGGATTTTAGTCAACTGTGTGGAATGGGCCTCAGAAAGCCAACATACTACTTCTGACACACAGAAGTCATGTGCTCCCATTGCTAATACGTTCCTTTAAAGTCTCTTACCTTCTCATTTGAGTTACTTTTTTGAACTTTGTACTGGAATGTATGAGCTGTCATACTGATCTTAATAAGTTACTCTTTTTCAACTAAGTCAGAGTAACAAAATTTTCATCTTTATTAGCATACTGCCAAAACCACATTCAAGCCATTGGTTGAATTAACTAAAACATTAAAATCCAAATCCATTCTCATGGTGGCATTGTAATGTCAGCACAGAGAACTTCCTTCCCCCAGACCCTGGATAATACCAGGAAGGTAATCTGGAAGTTTTCCTCTTTGCCTCGAGCAGGTTTTTGGCATCCATAGAGAGCTGCAGTGGGAAAAAAGAGGTGATGCTTATTTTGGTTCTGCTGAATTCTGCTGTTTTAACAACATGAATCCAACAACACATTGAATTGGCTTTCTACCCAAACTGAAATACTTATTGGACATTTGTTCCAGAAATTGCATCTTCTAGATCAGCTGGATGCTCACATAAACGAAGCTTACGGTATTATTCGGACAGTATTTTTATTCCTGATGGATTTCTTGGATACCAGTGCAAAACATTTGACTCCTTTGCATCGGTAAGTATAAAATCCAGGCAAACTCACAAAGTAGATAAAATCAGGTGAGGGCGATCATATGTACTCTAAAGGATGAAGTGTAAAGCATAAAACAAAATACAATATAATCTTACTATTCAGAGAATGAATCTAAGATGAGACTATTTCATCTCCTGAGACATCACATAAATTGGAAACTGATCAATAACATTGGTTTTGTGTAGGGAAAATGCTTTCCTTGTCCCAGAGAAGGCTGTCCTATGATGGGTCACTATGCTGATCAATTTGCAGATAAAACTAAGGCGATACATCAAGTGTTTTATCTAACCACAAAAGCTGTTCCACCATTTGCTTGTAAGTGTTAATATTCTTAAATTGTATTTCTTCGTATGGATATTTTCCAAGTTGGCCCTGTCTTGTGGTGACTGGGTAATAGAATTTTTTAAGCAAAATTTATGTAGAGAAGCTTTGCTTTTGCCCAAAACTTTTCTATATAAATCTTAACCAAGGTCTCCCAGAGTCCAGTACTCAGACAACAACACCATACTAGTTTAGTACTCAACTGTGGTTCTGCGATTCAGCTCTGCATTAAAAGCTACTATGTTGTCATCTCAGAACATGCCTTATCATTAATGATGCAGACATAATAAAAGTGCTTTCCTTTGCCCTTCTTCACAAGCTAGCTATTTGTGTAAAAGTTGATCACTTGGAATAATACTTTTTTGAGATTTAAGTAAGACTCAGGCTATTTCCTAGCCACTTAGCAGGCAATGCATCTAGCTCTGAGTCACTGAAGACCAAATTCTTGCCATTTGTCATTTCCATTGAATTGAGGACAGGACTTGGAAAAGGTCTTCATGTTATTAACTGCCATCAACTAAATTTTGAGCTATAGTGACCTTATGAATGACAGTCCTTCAAGTCACCCTTTTGTTCAGATCTATCACATTCAATGATGTCACTTTCTTGATTGTTCTCATCCATTTGCAATGTAGTATTCCTCATTTTGTACTGCCTTCTAACCTATTAAGCATCCTTGCCTTTTCTACTGAGTCATATCTTCTCATGATGTGTTCAAAGTACAACATTCCCAATTTAGTTATCTTGAACTCTAGGATGAGTTCAGTCTTGATTTTGTCTAAGGCAGTGGTTCTCAAGCTATGGGTCCCCAGATGTTTTGGCCTTCAACTCCCAGAAATCCTAACAGCTGGTTAACTGGCTGAGATTTCTAGGAATTGTAGGCCAAAACACCTGGAGACCCACAGGTTGAGAACCACTGCTCTCAATCACATAGGCCCCCATGCTGCCCATCAGAAGACACACACTCACTTCCGGCAAAGTCCCGTAGAAGAACTGTGCTGCAAGCATCCTAGGATGCTCCGGGCAGAATACAGGAAGATTAAAATAATGGCTTTTTAGACAGGATTTTGACCTTGTGTCATTTATGGCCAGATTTGAGGATTTAGTGACTGCTCACTCCAGCACTTTGGACTGTTAATTGAAGACTGCTAGTCTTACCCACAGACTCTAGTGTGTTTTATGAATTTTAAAATTTTACTAGATGAGGTTTATGTGTGTTTATTATTTATGAATTTCTGTTGCTGTTTCAGAGGGTTGTGTATTGTTTGTTCTATGTCTGGCACTTCGAATGTGCTCTTGTGAGCTGCTCCAAGTCCCATCGGGAAGATGGTGGCAGGGTAGAAATCTATTATTATTATTATTATTATTATTATTATTATTATTATCATTATCATTATCATAATCATCATCAAGCTTCCCATGTTCTGTAGGCACCAATGAGGTCAGCATGTGATGGGGAAGCATCACTGTGGGTGATACGTGGTGCCCTTCATCAATGTAATGAGGTCCTAAGCCCAATTTGTTGTTTTTTAGTTTTTTAGGAACTCACAGTATCTATGGAACTCTTCTCCAGCACAACATCTCAAATGCATTGTTTTTTTTCCTGTCAGCATTATTCACTGTCTCTCTTTCACTATCATAAACAGAAATTGGAAATATGATGGCGAGGACAATTAAAACTTTAATATTCAGTTACATATCTTTATTCTTCAGGATCTTGTCTAGTTCCTTGATAGTTGCCCTTCCAAGACTATGATTTCTTGAAGACAGTCTCTATCCTGATTAATGATTGGGTACATAAAGTCTTGAATTACATCAATGTCTTCACTATCTACTTTAAAGTTATGAATATCTCCTGTGGTCATTATTTTTGTTTTTGTAATATTCTACTGTAATCAGGCCCGTAGCCAGGATTTCGTTTCGGGGGGGGGGGGGGGGCTAAAAAATTTTCAGGGGGGGTATTCAGGGGGGGTTTTGGGGGGGCTGAGTTTCGGGGGGGGGGGGCTGAGTCTGAGTGAAAGAGGGTCTAGCCTAGCAAACCTTTTGTATCATTACCCCAATACCCCCATGCATATGGGATATATTGAGTATGGTGATATGATCATGATATGAATAAACATAACAGTTTAAATAATGCACCAGTAAGGCCTTTTCGCGAACCACCATGAGAATTTCGGGGGGGGGGGGGCTGAAGCCCCCCACGCCCCCCCCCCCCACGGCTACATGCCTGACTGTAATCCTCCCTTTGCACTTACTTTCTGGACTTTCTTCAGTAATAATTCAAAGTCTCAGCTATTTTCTGTTTGTAGTATAGTTTTGATTTTCCTCCTCCAGTTTTCATGCCTCTTTTTTGTTCTCTCTTGTTCTTTTCTGTAGAGTGTAGGGCATCACTTTTTTGCATGCAAAATTCATGCAACTGCAACTCCTGACATCCCTTTTCTTGAGGATTGGAATGTATATTGAAACGTTATTATTCTGAACTACATGCCCCGTGATCTGCAGCAAGCATGACCAGTGGGTGCAGGGATCATGGAAAGTGTAGTTTTTAATAATAATAATAATAACAACAACAACAACTTTAATTCCTTACCCATCTTCCTTGCGACTCGAGGCGGGTTATTGGGGGCTGACTGAACAAGAGATGCTCCAACTTTCTCTATCAGTTAAAACTGCCTCTGCTGCTGAAGTATCTGTGTAGAAAGAGGCCGTCTGAGTTCAACCATTATCAAGAGGTGATTGTTAATGAAATTATTTAATTGTGGCAAGGGTCTCATCTACACTACACTATTTCAACTTACATTATATAGTCAGTGTAGGCTCATATAATGCAATTCATTATATGAATCTACATTGACCATATAATGTAGTTTCAGACTGATAGTGTAGATACGGCCTAAGATGTATTTTTGCCTTGCTATTTACATTGTTTTTGTATTTCTGTAATTTTTCCTAACAAGACTTACAGTATTTGTGGAATAAGATTCATATGTATTAATTCATACTTGTATGTGAGGATAATATCTTCGATGCACTGCTGAATTACGGTATCACAGTTCAATATTAAGAGAGTATGGTATAGTTTGTTTGAGTTGTTATGTTGTAAATATTTTAATTGTTTTTAATCATGGCTTTAAAAATAATATAATTATTTGATTTTTTAAAACTTTTGTAAACAAATTCTTTTCAGAACTGTTCTTTGCTACCTTGAACCCCATATCAGGATAACGCCAGGGTTATAAATTCATTCAACCGATCAATTTGTTGTAGCTCAGCAGCAGTCACCGCAGACAGGGTCTGGTGGATTCATTGATGACTTAGAGTTAGACATTGTGGGCTTTCCTGGGATTCTTTCTGATACAGGCCAGGAAAGCTAAACCATTCCAGATAAGGATGCAGGTACAGATGCAGAGAACATAATTGCTTTTGAACCTCAAGGTCAAGCACAGGAGTTAGAATCTTCCTCTTTAGATAACAAGGCAAGTGAAGGCTTTCAAGTAACATCTAGGCCTGAGTTCTTTTGGTCCTTGATTCTTGTTTCAAGTCTTGGTTTTGGATTTAAGTTTCCTGGGACTTTTCTATATTCTTGTTTGGTATCCCTGTTCAAGTTTTGCTTCTGGATTTAAGCTGCATTTGAGTTTTGGGACTATCTTTGGACTGTATTGCTTTTGGATTTCTAAGAGACAAATGACTGCTGACTTTTTGGGTTTACACCTTATTTCATTGCTCATGCTTTCCCCCAATATATTTTTGAGTGTTTTTGCAACAAATTGTTTGCTTCTACTCTGGACTCTTGTGTGATGTCATAGGTGGCTTCAGGCCTGGGGTGCGACACAATTGATAATTATATTATCACTAATTATGTTATTTTCTTGTTGTTTCCCTTTTGTTTTCTAATCGTTCTTAATTTATTGTGTTAAAAAGTTATATTTTATCCTCTTCTGATGTTGAGAGCTGCTTTGAGCATTGCTTGACTTTAATGCAAGCAGATTTAAATATAACCAGATTAATTAATGGCTTAATTAACATCTTTCAATAGTGGAAAAAACACTTGGGTAATTTATTATAAAAAAACTCCCACCCCATTACACCAAAGTCCTATGATGTCTCTTGGAAACCCCATTCCCATTGTAGCCCAAAATTATGAATAGTTTCAATTGGAGGTAAATGAAACTTTGTGATTGACATTATTCCCTTGCCTTGAGTTGAAGTTTGAATCCAGCTGTTGACTTGGAGAGCTGCATGTCAAGTTTATATATTTCAAAATACAAATTATGCTTTTATGTCATTCTGACTATGTTTTATCTATATCAGCATGTAGCTAATCTGTCTCCTTTTTTCTTCATAGGTTGGAGAAAACGTGTATCTGTAAAATTGTTTGGCACCCAAATAGAGAGAGGGAATATTACCGTAGCCTTGATTGGAGCTAATGAGATCAGAAAGGAATACCTAATTTTCACGTACGTTTAACCTCACCATGAAATATAAACTCTTCCTTTAGGGCCTATAAAAAGTAATTCTCAGAGCTTTCCAACTAATTTATATTTTATATTTAGTCTCCAGGCACATCAGTATGTCCCTACTTCTAATCCAACTTTTAAAAGAATTCTCAAGTCTCATTATATACAGCGGTGTAGCAAAATCAAGGTTTGTCCTTTGGCATTTAAAAAAAATCTAAATAATTACATCTTGTTCATATATCAATCATAATCTTCAGTACTCATTTTCCAAATTCTCTCTTGATTCAAAGGAGGTTTAAGTTCAGGATTGCCTTGATTAATAGAAACATTATGTGACAACTAAAAAAAAATCAACGCCAACTGCAACAATAGGAGCCTAGTATCTAGAAGAAATAATTCTGTTCTTCTTTGGTAAAGCTTACTTGGACTACTATGTTCAGCTTTGAGCATCACAATTCAGGAGGATATTGACATGCTGGAACATGTCCAGAGGAAGATGACCAAAATGGTCAATAATCTGGAAACCAATCACATTTCTATCTAGGGCCACATCAGCCTTATGGTTGCCTTCAAAGAACCATCAAATCTATGTACAGAGGATCAATGGATACAGAAGGCCAATTATATAAATTTTTTTACTTAGTGGTCAGTGCTCTTTAGTTTTTACCCAATTTGGGTCCTCAGATGTTGAATGATAACTCCCATCACTTTTGATGACCCACCATGTGGACTGGGAATAATGGGAACTGAAACCCAGCAGCACTTGTGGCTCTGAGTTTGAGGAAAGGTTAAAGGGCATTTTAAAGTCAGACATCCAACCCCACAATCCTGACTAAATACGACGAACTGCAGCCTTCCAGATGTTATCGTATCACAACTCCTATCAGCTCTAGTCATGTCTAATAATGAAGAATACAGGAGTTGAAGTTCAGCATTTGGAGGGCCAAATAAAATGATATGTTGGGCTGAGTTTGGTGCATGGGCCTTGTGTTTGCTTTAGTAAGACTTACCTAAGAAAATGCCATCTCCAACTTTGAATATCACAATTCAAGAAAGATATTGACAAGCTGGAATGTGTCCAAAGAAAGATGACCAAAATGGTCAAAGAAAATATGCCTTTAGAGGAATGATATAGGGAGTATTTATCCTGGAGAAGTTTGAATGGATGGCCCTTGTGGTCTATTCCAATTTTATGATTATAGTTAAATAGGTCTCGATACACAAACATCAGCTAATCAAGTATATTACTCTAATTATGAGTCACTGTTCAATGCTGCAATGAATTAATAATCAACCCAAATTTAAATATCACACAGCAGTGATAGCACAGCCCTTTCAAACTGATATCATTTCATGTTCTTGTCTTCCCCACATGATAAAGAGATTTGAGGTAAGATATAGGCTAGTATTATAGAAACGTTACATTGCAATTGTGGGTATAGCCACTCATACATGTGATATTGATTCCAATGGAGAAACCACAAAAGAGTGAAGGATTGTAGCATAATTCCTATTATTGTCACAAACATTCATGGTATGTGTAACAGATTAAGCATTGGGCTCCAAAGCAAATTTTTATATTGAGCAAAAATTGCAGCAGATGAAATGTCTTTGCACAATGCTAAGAGTTTTATTATAGTCTTTGCTCATTTTGTGAGATTAGCATCATAAGCCTAAAAGCAATTAGACATCAATGTCTAAAACTGTTTCCATGTGCTGTATCTCTTCTTACTTGAATAGAATCAATTCAGTAATCTCTTTGAAAAGTAAAGTTTAATGGGCTTTGTAATTGTAGCTTTAGGATTAAAAACAATACTTTCTCATTTTGGGATAATCTTTATTATTCTCTCTGAAATGGAACATGGGTGATCCTATGCTTCGCAGAGAAACCAGTGCCACCCAAAAACAGAGCTTGGGGAGGTTGTTTTTTGGATTACAAAGTTGGGTGTCTATGGAGATGAGGGTTCTTGGGATGTCCCAATCTGTTCTCAGAAGTAAAACAGCTCTTTCCTAGGATACTCTTCCCAAATATGATTATTTGAAGCTGGAGTAATGTATTAAAAATTGAATACTGAATTAGAATTCAGTATGTTAGCAGAAGAATTAGATGTTCATTATTCCTCCACAGTGGTAGATGAGCATCTAAATCTGTGGTTATTAACCTGTGGGCCACAGACCACCAGTGGGCTGCAAGGACGAAAATCTGGTCTGCGAGCCTCCTTCCTCTTTATTGTATTGTATTGTGTTGTGTTGTGTTGTATTTCCACTCCTTTTGCGCCACCTGTCACTCCTTTCCTGTCGCTGACCAGCCCCGATCCCTTGGATAGACCACATCAGCTCTAGATTATTAAATATAGTTTTCTGTGGGCGAGCAGATGGTGACTACTGGTTAGCATATGTTCTGTATCAGAAACTAGAGCTGATGTGGTCTATCCAATGCAGTTTTCTGAATAAGCACATCAAATAACCAAACCAAATCTATAAAGTTGACCAAAACTAATTCTTAACTCTCTTGGTACTGATGTTGGAGAGTGGTCCCTGGTCAAAGTGGTCCCTGGACAAGTGGGCCCTGGTCAAAAAAAGGTTCGGAACCACTGCTCTAAATGGGCACTTAATATGTAGAGGTGAAATCTGTGAAAACGGGCAGCTCACAGATGGAATGGTCAGAGGGAGAAAGAGCCAACAAGATCCAATAGCTGAAATAGATGAGCATACATGCATATATGGTTATGTCACTTATCAACACTGAAGTTATATTTCTTCCATTGTTCACCACCTTACAGGATATTGACTTGAACCTAATTATTTGACTAAAAGAATTCAGATATAGTATTTTTATTTTCATTTTAAAATGCAAATTTGTCACACCTCATGAAAATGTGTGTGTTTTTATATATTTATTTCTTTACAGTGGGTTTCTTTATCCAAGGTATGCTTACACAAGAGTTGTTGATGTACCTATTTCTGGAGAGATTGTAGCAGTTGAGTTTCAGTGGAAAACACACGCAGCTTGGCAAAGAATTAGCCACATAGGAGCACGAGATATCAGCATTGTATATGGAAAAAATGGAAATTCGTAAGTATGGCTGTAAAATGAGTAATGAAAAGCAATTTTCAGGACTAGCCTCATGTATGATCTGGCCATAATACATTAGTGAATCTTCCCAGACCACATGCTTGCATGATGGCAGGAAAGACTATGTACAAGCCTCTGTTTTAAAAATCCCCAAGATACCTGGGAGCAATGCATTGCAAGATGCCCAAATACCCCAAAGGACCCTGATCTTGATTAATCTTGGAAGTTAAGCAAGATCAGATGTTGTTCATACTCAGAAGGTTGTCAACTAATACCAGGTGCTGTAGGCTATATTTCAGAAAAAGAAATTAATAAAACCACCGGTGAGAATTCCTTCCCGAAGAAAACTCTATGAAAATCATGAGGTTGCCATACATCAACAGGAAACTAAAAGATATATAACAATTTTTCACCATGGTGGTAGAGGTCAGGGCTCAGCTCTAGTTTGTCTACAGTAAGCTGATAGAGATGGTAGATCCTGACACTAGGCTTGGTTTTATCTCTAGATGGGGAAAATAGAGAGATGCCAGGACTAACATAATCTAGGGTCATCAGAACTAACACTATCCAGATGAAACAAAACCATATTAGGGCAAATGCAACATTGCTGCTACCTAGACTAGACCCATTGGAGTGAGTGTAAGTTCTGCTTATTTCGGCAGGTTTACTCTAAGCAGGACTAATGTTACATTCAACTCATGTTTACAAGCTATTTAGGTATTTCAAAGGAGTTCCCACTCTCACCGTCAGTTTTGCACAAAAACGTTCAAAGGACCCATCTACACAGACCAATCTAATCAGTTAGAGGGTGAATAGACTCCATGCTGGCTGTCATATACAGGATCCATTCAGCGAAGTGTGGGAGAAGGCCATTTAACATAACCTTCTCTGCAGAGTATCATGGGATACTCTGCAGCTTAACACATACTTTTTCCTCATTAAACAAAGTTGTGGGAAAGTTCAGAGCTTCCCTACATTTTGGGCCAGTCTAAACAGGTGTGCTGCTTCCTATTCATCGTGTTGTTGCTCCAACTAGTTTCACTTTGTTGAGGAGTAATGTTTGCTATCATTCAATTATGTATGGAATACAAATGTTAAAACAAAAGGTGATTAGAAATCGGGTTAAACAGTTGGCACTGGCCAACACACATATTGGTGCTTCAAATGTCAGCCCTGTTTCTGGGTATATTTGACCTACTGATTCCAAAAATGGTACCAGTTCCCCATCAGCTTTAATTGTTGAAATACATAACATATGGCATCTACCAGTCACCATCTGCTTGCCCATAGAAAACCATGATACTCATATCTAAGAAACTAGAACTGATGAGGTCTGTTAACTGCAATTTTCTGACTCAGTGCCCCAAATAACTCCAGGCACAAACCTAGAAACCAGGACACCAATATTTTTGTTTGTTGCACTGTGTTATATCTGGGGTAATAAATAGGCCTTTCATTTTCATAAAGTCTATTTTACATTTGCATTTTTAAAAATTTGTCCTAAAAAATAATATTTACCTTTTGTTTCCAGATCAGTATTTTGTGGCAATACAACTGTCTACCCTGAGGTTTGGCAGAAACTTTCACCTTGTGAAGCACACATGAAACGTTGACATTTTTGCTAACTGTACTGTGGGAATGGAGAATAAATATATTTTTCTTTATCAATATCATTGGAGAGCTGTTTTTAATTGTGCTATTACTACTTCTAGCAGAGTTAGAGCTTCGAGGAGAAAAGCTGCTTAGCTTGTATCACACAGGTCCAGGCTCAATATGTTTAGCTCATGGGTTGAATGGACCACTATCATTTGTCTCAGGGCCCAGCTGCATCCTGACATATATTAAAATTGCATAGAAAGGAACTGGCATAGTAATAATAGTGATGTGTCAGATATTCCAGAAGTCCCAACATTTTGAAATTCAGCAGAGAACAAAAAGTGATGCTGTGCTTTTAAAGATCATACTTGGAAATGAAGGCAGGAATTTAAGGACAATTGTATAGCCTTTCAGTGAACCAATGTATTCGTCACCAAGGAAACATGGTTTTACACCTTATTATTGTAGCCTGCTATCGTTTTCAGCAAACTAGAAGACTGCTATACATAGGTGTCAGATGTTGAAAGTAACTAGTTACAAATAACTAGTTACAAACGAGTGCTGGCTCATAATGTCTGCTTTGTTGTGGGTGTTGAAACAATGGGATAAACCGGAAGAGATGGCCAATCAAAGTTACTTTAAATTGCTACTTACTATAGTAACTAACTGCTTTTGAATCCTTGGAACTTTTAAAAAAGTAACCTTCCTAGTTTATATGAATTCTCTTTTCGTTGTTTAGTATCAGTTTGCACAAGACTAGTTTACAGGAAGTAGATTCTTGTTTGGTTCTTCAGCACAGTAGATCTACAAGCTTGACTTGATCTTATTTAAAGACTTCCATGACAAGCATTCTAATCAACCAAGGCGGGGTTTTACTCATGCTATTGCTGTAATGACATCCTTTAACATTTCCTCCTCTTCTGTTATATTTATGAATCATAGAATCATAGAATCATTGAGTTGGAAGAGACTTCATGGGCCATCCAGTTTAACCCCTATGACATACATAGGAGCTATTTAACATTGCCTAAACTAACACTATAAACAGGCAGATGGCTGCAATAATTTACAATGTGTGTGTTGGAGAGGCTGGAACATTAGGTGGATGATTATATTTTTTTACATTTGAAGCCACAGCACTTGCCCTACAGCCAGAGCTTAGAAATAATTAATTGAATGATTCATTACATTATAAACCCATTTGGTGTATAAACCAAGACACCAAGATTTTTTTTTTTGGTTGGGCTGTATACTTGATCGGATTATATGAAGTTTCTGGAGTATAACAACTACATTCAAAGTAAGTGCCACACAATTAAACAGGAAATAACAGTTTCAAACCAGGATCAGAATTTTTTTCAAATTTTGTTACATAGTGTTATAGTAGATTGACTTTTAATTAAAGTCATTCTAGAAATTAATTTCTAGTCACTGTTTACACAATTGTTTTGTAAATTTAAAAATATTTAAAATAATGATGCAATATGCCCCTAGGGCAAAGAGTGACAACCTTCATTCTCTGGGAATCCTTCGTCTTCTGTACATTAAATAAAGAATTTTCTAGCAGTCTAGGAGTGGATAAGTTTGGTTCATTTATTGAATGTCCTAATAAAAAAGAACAATGCTTGTTATGAATGGGGAAGTAACAAAACTGACAGATTCACCCACCCAGCTTGGATTTGAAACGTCTGGCTCTGTTTCCCTATGTATTTAGAGATATTTGTGTGTTGCATTCTAGCCCTGGAACACCTCTTCACCCAGCATCACAGAGAGTCCAGTAGTAACTAAGTACAGCATGTTATTTACAATAGCATACACAAAAGGGGAAAAGGGCAATTCCCCAAAAAGCAGTAGAAAAGGTGCTATGAAATAGCAGTAGTCCATAGATGCAAAGATCAATAGTCCAAAATAGCAAGGTACATTATATCCAGGAAGTCAAGAACATAGGCATAAATCCATAAGCATGAAAATAGGAACTTTTCAGGAACACAGACGAACACAGGAGACAAGATACACAAACATGAGAGCTGATCCAGGAACTTGATTCTATGGCAACGCTGTCTGCTCTGTAGACTTTAAGAAAACATCACTTAATTTAAACTCAGGCTGTACCAAGAAACTATTAGATCATCTCTTTGACATCTGGATTTGAAAGACTTCTCACAAAGATTCAAGGACTTTTCATGAAGTCTTTCTGGCTGTCTAATTAATGTATCCTTCACTCCCTCCGTGTGGAGGCCTAATCTGATATTGCGGGTAAACTCCTCATCTGTTGAAGGCTGATTCCCATGAGAAATGGAATTCCAAGCATCGTCTGTAACTGCCGGCACTTCTCTCTGATCTAAGGCCTGCGATTCAGCCTGTGTCTCAACCTGATCACATACAGACTCAGTGAAAAAAACCATCATCCCCCTCATCATCCTCCGAGGATATCCTAGCATCCTGTTGCTGAGCCCCAACACTGTGATGCTCAATTATGACTATATCTTTTATCTTCTGGCAGACACCCATCTTGAACAGCGACATTGCAAGCAGGTGCTACATAATCATTCCCATGTTGGCAGTAGCTGTGCTTATGAATGTAGAGAATGCAGTTGGGTAAGAATACACACACATGTAGGTCAAGGTCCACCTCTCTTCACCTTAAGTGACAGCACAAAGGAAGTACTTTCCATGTAATACAGTGGCACAGTTGCTGTCCTTGTGCTGCACAGAACCACATACCTGTTCATCCACACAACTCTAAGTAGCATTTTTTGGGCATGATGAAATATCTTGCAATGGAGATTAAGGGCACTTTCAGACAGACCCAAAATGTGGGACCTGTCTCACTTTTACCTAAGGTGTCCAAATGATGCTAATTAATGCAAAGAAATTTGGTTTTCCCAGTTTGTTGTTTATTCATTCAGTCACTTCTGACTCTTCGTGACCGCATGGACCAGCCCATGCCAGAGCTCCTTGTCAGCCGTTGCCACCCCCAGCTCCTTCATGGTCAAGCCAGTCACTTCAAGGATAACATCCATCCATCTTGCCCTTGATCGCCCCTTTTCCTTTTTCCTTCCATTGCCCCCAGCATCATGATCTTCTCCGAGCTTTCCTGTCTTCTCATTAAGTGGCCAAAGTACTTCATCTTTGCCTCTAATATTCATTCCTCCAGTGAGCAGCCGGGCATTATCTCCTGAAGTATGGACTGGTTTAATCTTCTTATGGTCCAAGGCACTCTCAGAATTTTCCTCCAACACCACAGTTCAAAAGTGTCCCAGTTTACTCCGTATGATTTAAACACCTGGAAAGATCCGGACCTTAAGCTAAGGTCCAGATCTTTCCAGGTGTGGGCCTGTGGGGATTGACTCCTGGGACTGGAGAAGCAGTCCTTAGAGTCAATCCCCATAGCCATTCCAGTTTTTCAGGCTCCTAGAGCCTAAAGGAGCCTGAGGGTACCCACACCCTTCAAAACTTACATTTCCCCTTCAAAACATACAGGAGGGGCCTGCTGGCAGTGCAGACCCCTCTATAGAGTAATCCTGGTGCTTGAAAATGATGTGTCAGGAGGTAGCAGGGAGGTGACCATTTTATGCATATGACATAGGAAGCTTCATTTCATAAGAGTTTATTTGACTTTTTGAAAATGTCACAAACAAGTTTGAAAGTAAAATAAGTTCCCACCTTCAACAATGCAGTGCATTGCTTTGCCACTAGAGGGCCCCTTCTCCAAGTCTTTGCACAATGGAGTTAAAATGCTGGTCCCATTACAAGAAATGTGTATATGCAAAGCTCCTGTCTCATTTTAACTACCAAGGCCCCATAGTATCTGAAGACAAATTCAGATGTTGCACTAGAGAGTTCTGTTTTTCTGTTTCTCTCTTGTGCATGTCTACTAAGTCAAACTAGCTGAAGAAGTTATCTATGCTTTGAAGAAGGTAGCTCCAGTCACGCAATCCAACAAAGACAGTGACACACCTTGAAAGCTGGTTTCAGCAGTCTCTAATTGTTGGTTGCTTTACTGTTCTTCCCTCATTCAACTGGCATGGAAAAGGACATGCTTGGGGAGATTTTTATCCTTGAGTGCCAAACAAAATATCAAGGTCTGATGAAACTTTGTAATCTTACTGTCTGAAGTAAAAACAAAAGAAGCCAACCTGATCTTGTTTGGGGAAAAGTTCCAAAATTGGTTTGCTGCTATTGTACAGAACCATCATATATCCTTTAGCTTAGCTTCTTTCAAATTGGAACAGATTCACTGAAAAGGGGGGTAAATCACAGGCGTGTTTATATAGAAGGAAGGAGGTAATGTTTCGGATATCATAGCAGAACAAAGCCACAATCTACATGAGATTTACTTAAATCTGCACATGTTTCCACTGGGAAAATCTGTAGTAAGTTGTGAATTAAACTCAAGAATAACAAAAAACTGAACGGTGATCAAGAGGCTGACAAATAAGAAGGCAATTTAGGTGTTATGATGGTGGTATGAGTCTGAAAAAGAGAGAATTTTAAGGCTAGTTACTAGTTTCTAAAATCCGAATTAATTCGGATTAAATTACCTTTTGATTCAATTTTGAGCCATGCAGGAATATTGGGAGGAGCAATTCCGAACTGAAACAACTTTCCCATTGTTCGGAATTATTTTCGGATGTGGCCACTGGGGGAGTGGCCTTCAGGAGAGCTGTTCTTAGCCACGGCCACCTCGTCCCTCTTTGCATCGCCGGGTGTGCAAAGCTGCCGATGCAAAGAGGGACGAGGTGGGCGTGGGTAAGCACTGCTCTTCCTGAAGGCCATGTCCCCAGTGGCCTTCAGGAAGAGCTGTGCTTAGCCATGCCCACCTCGTCCCTCTGCATGACAGCTAGCCAGGGAAGGGAAGCTGCAAAAATTTAAAACAAACACTTTTAAAATCTCGCAGCTTCCCTTCCCTGGCGAGCTGCCATGCAGAGGGATGAGGTGGGCGCGGCTAAGCACAGCTCTCCGTGGAGGTTGCTGGGGGCGTGGCCTTCAGGAAGAGCTGTGCTTAGCCATGACCACCTCGTCTCTCTGCAATCCATCGCT